CAAAGGGTAAGGCAAAATATTCCATGAAGAGGAAATAAAAAAAACAACAATGAAAATCAGCAGAGGGAGGGATTACACTAAAGGAAAAATTAATCTAAGGAGAAACCAAGTCAAGTTAAGTAACAAAAATAAACAAAAATGACTATTACAAATCATGACTCAATAATAACTCCAAATATTAATGGCCTAAACTCAATAATAAAAAGACATAGGCTATCAGATTGAAAAAGACCAAACAATATGCTGCCTCCAGGAGACTCATCTCTTAGGAAAAGACATACACAGACCAAAAGTGAAACATTGGGATAAATCATACCACTCACATGGACTGCAGAAGCAAGCAGGAGTTTCCATCCTTGTATGAAATAAAGTAGACTTCAAGATAAAGTTAATCAAAAGGGATAAAGATGGACATTACATACTGCTCAAAGGAACCGTACATCAACAAGACATAACAATTATAAATATATATGCCCCAAACAATAGAGTATCTATGTTCAAACAAATTCTTCTCAAGTTCAAGAGTCAAATTGACCACAACACAATAATTTTGGGTGACTTTAATACACCTCTTTCGCCACTTGATAGATCTTCCAAATATGAACAAAGAAAGACATTATAGAACCCAATAATACAATCAATAACTTAGACTAAACAGACTTATATAGAATAATTCATCCATCAATGAGCAAATATGCTTTCTTCTCAGCAGCACATGGATCCTTCTCTAAAATAGACCATATATTATGCCACAAAGCAACTCTTCACAAATACAAAAAAGTAGAGATACTACCCTGCATTATATCACATCACAATGGAATGAAATTAGAATTCAATGATAAAACAAAAAATAAAAATTACTCCAACACCTGGAGACTAAATAATATGGTACTGAATGAATAATGGGTTGCAAAAGTCATCAAGTAGGAGATTAAAAAATTTTTAGAGGTGATTGAGAACACTGATACAACATATCGAAATCTCTAGGACACTATGAAGGCAGTACTGAGAGGAAAAGTTCATTGCATGGAGTTCATTCCTTAAAAGAAGAAAATGTCAACAAATAAATGAATTAATATTATATCTCAAAGCCATAGAAAAAGAAGAACAAATCAACCCCCAAAGCAGAAGAAGACAGGAAACAATTGAAATCAGAGCTGAAATCAATGAAATTGAAACAAAAGAAACAATTGAAAAAAATGACAAAACAAAAGATTGGTTCTTTGAAAAAAATGAATAAAATTGACACAAACCCTTAGCCAAGCTAATAAAGAGAAAGCGAGAGAAAATTCAAATTATTAATGATGAACAAGGAAATATCATAACAGAAACTATAGAAATACGGAAGATAATTAGAAATTATTTTGAAAACTTGTACTCCAATAAAATAGAAAATATGGAAAGCATTGACAAATTTCTGGAGTTATATGATTTGCCCAAATTGAATCGGGATTATATACATGATTTAAACAGATCAATTTCAAGCAATGAAATAGAAGACACCATTAGAAGCCTACCAACCAAGAAAAGCCCAGGACCAGATGGATACAGAGCTGAGTTCTACAAGACCTATAAAGAAGAACTAATACCTATACTCTTCAAATTATTTTGTGAAATAGAAAAAGAGGGAGCACTTCCAAACTCATTCTATAAGGCCAATATCACCCCGATTTCAAAACCAGACAGTCACAAAGAAAGAAAAGTTCAGACCAATATCTCTAATGAACAGAATGATCATACTACCAAAAGCAAAAATTCTCAATAAAATTCTGGCAAATCAAATACAAAAACATATCAAAAAGATAGTACATCATGATCAAATGGGATTCATCCCAGGGATGCAAAGTTGGTTCAACATCCAGAAACCAATCAATGTAATTCATCACATCAATAGACTTAAAGATAAGAATCATATGATTATCTCAATAGACTCAGAAAAAGCATTCAACAAAATACAGCACCCCTTCATGTTCAAGACACTAGAAAAACTAGGGATAACAGGAACACATCTCAACATCATAAAGGCTATCCATGCTAAGCCCCAGGCCAACATCATTCTAAGTGGAGAGAAATTGAAGGCATTCCCTCTAAAAACTGGAACAAGTCAGTGATGCCCTCTTTCACCACTTCTATTTAACATAATTCTTGAAACACTGGCCAGAGAAATTAGATAGATGAAAGAAATTAAAGGGATACAGATAGGAAAAAAAAGAACTCAAAGTAGCACTATTTGCCAATGATATGATTCTATACCTAGAAGACCCCCCAAAAAAAATCCACAGAAAACTTTTAAAACTAGTAAATGAATTCAGCAAAGTAGCAGAATACAAATCAACACCCATAAATCAAAGGCATTTCTGTATATCAGTGACAAGTCCTCTGAAAGAGAAACAAGGAAAACTACCCATTTATAATAGCCTCAAAAAAAAAAAAATACTTGGGAATAAACCTAACAAAAGAGGTGAAAGACCTCTACAACGAAAACTACAAAACACTAAAGAAAGAAATTTAAAAAGACCTTAGAATATGGAAAGATCTCCCTTGTTCTTGGATAGGCAGAATTAATATTTCAGAATGACAATACTACCAAAAGCACTATACAGATTTAATAAAATTCCAATCAAAATCCCAATGACATTCCTCATAGAAATAGAAAAAGCGTCATGAAATTCATCTGGAAAAATAAGAGACCCAGAATAGCTAAAGAGTGAAGCATGTGGCATCGCTATACCAGACCTTAAACTATACTACAGACAATAGTAACAAAAACAGCATGGTACTGGCACCAAAATAGACGGGTAGACCAATGATACAGAAGAGAGGACACAAAGACTAACCCACATAATTACAATTATTTTATATTAGACAAAGGCAACAAAAACATACATTGGAGAAAAGCTAGCCTCTTCAACAAATGGTGCTGGGAAAACTGGAAATCCATATGCAACAAAATAAAATCAAACCCTTATCTCTCACCATGCACAAAACTCAAAGTGGACCAAGAACCTAGGAATTAAACCAGAGACCCTGTGTCTAATAGAAGAAAAAGTAGGCCCATATCACCATCATGTGGGATTAGGCCCCGACTTCCTTAATAAGACTCCTATAGCACAAGAATTAAAATCAAGAATCAATAAATGGGATGGATTCAATTAAAAAGCTTCTTTTCAGCAAAGGAAACAATCAGTGAGGTGAAGAGAGAGCCTACAGAATGGGAGCAAATTTTTACCACACGCACATCAGATAAAGCACCGATCTCTAGGATATATAAAGAACGCAAAAAGCTAAACACCAAAAAAAAAAAAAACCACAACCCAATCAAGGAACCGAATAGACACTTCTCAGAAGATGATATACAAATCAACAAATATGAAATAATTTTGAAAAAATTTTCAACATTTCTAACAATTAGAGAAATACAAATCAAAACTACTCTAAGATTTCATCTCACACCAGTCAGAATGGCAGCTATTATGAATACAAACAACAATAAGTGTTGGCGAGGATGTGGGGGGAAAGACACACATTGCTTGTGGGACTGCAAATTGGTGCAGCCAATATGGAAAGCAGTATGGAGATTCCTTGGAAAACTTGGAATGGAACCACCATTTGACCCAACTATCCCACTCCTTGCTCTATGCACAAAGGACTTAAAAACAGCATATTACAGGGACACAGCCACATCAATGTTTATAGCAGCCCAATTTACAATAGCTAAACTGTGAAACCAAACTAGGATGCCGTTCAGTAGATGAATGAATAAAGAAAATGTGGTATATATGCACAATGGAATATTATTTGGCAATAAAAGAGGATAAAATCATGACATTTTCAGGTAAATGAAYGGAGTTGGAGAACATAATGCTAAGGGAAGTTAGCCAATCCCTAAAAACCAAATGAAAAATGTTTTCTCTGATAGAAGGAGGCTGATTCATTGTGGGGTTGGGAGCGGGAGCTGGGAGGATTAGACAAACTCTAGATAGGACAAAGGGTTGGGAGGGGAAAGGAGGGGCAGGTAGGAGGAAAGATGGTGGAATGAGATGGACATCCATTACCCTAAGTACATGTATGAAGACATGAGTAATGTGACTCTACTTTGTGTACAACCTGCTCTATGTGTGTAATATGAATTGTAATGCATTCTGCTATCATATATAACAAATTAGAATTAGAAATAAATAAAAATAATGCTTTTACATAAAATTGATTTTTGTTCTACAAAATGGTAATTTGAAAACTTATACATAATCATGTCAAATATATCTTGCTTGGAAGGTTTTTACAATTTGGCCCAATGTTGGGGAACAGTGCTTAGACAGAATGGGGTCTATGAAGACTGGAGGCACTTCTGGCACCTTCCATGAAGGAAAACTCACCTCCAGTTTCTCCCGATTTTCCCTTTCTGCTTGAGCAATTTGGAACTTTCTGTAGCCTCCAAAACAGACACCCCTGGCTTGGGCACCTTTGTGTGTGTATACACACACACACACACACACACACACACACACACACACGTACACAGTCTACTAGTAATTAATTGGTACTTACTACCTGCTTTTTGAAAGAATGATAGGTAATATGCTTAATAACACTTTGTAGCAAAATTGGGTCACACAATTCATAAGGCTATTCATAATGGTCTTTGAGAAAAGTCAAATGAGCCATAATTCAAAGAGGGTATTTGCTAAGTCACTAAGTTTCAACTGTTTAGCTTCCTGGTCACCCAACTTTAGCCCACAATGAACTCGTGATGCAAGGGTCCTCCGACTCTCCCTTCTCTGGGCTCTTGCTCGAGGCTGGAATGCAAGCAGATCAAGGTCATGCACCCCCGTGGGAAGGAGAAAAGCATCAAATGTTAGCTTTGGCCTCAAAACCAGTGAGTGTTAGGCGCCAACACTCCCTGTGGTGAGGCGTCTCTTGGCTCTCAGCCCTGTGGAGTGGAGGAAAGGGTGCCCAGGCCCTCGGTTAGCTCATTCCTGGCACAGGAAGCAGATACTCACCGTGGTCACAAATGCCACCTGCCAATTCTCCAGTTGCCATTCACAGCGGATGACAGGAGACACAACAGCTATTAACATGATCTCCATGGCCTCGACAACCTTAAAGAGGAGGGACATAATGCCATGTCTAAGTGCCAGCTTGTTGTCACTTCCTCCCACCTCTGCCCGTCTTCTCTCTCCCTTCCAAGTCCTAATTTTTCTTCCTTCCCTCCTTCATTTAGAGAGCACATATTGAGGACCACGCGCAAAGTCAGATGGATACAGAACTACAGAACTATGGTTCTCGTGACGTAATAATTTTGGTTTGAACAACTTGAGAGGGACCCCAAAGTTTTGTGACATGTATTCACTTGTGATTTTGCTGCCCTCTGTATTTGCATTAATCCTGTGAGAATGCTGTGTGGGGCCAGTCCCTCAGCTAGTGGACCCGCCGGGCCAACCACCAGCCTCCACATCAACCAGCTCTGCCCCTCGCACCTATCCCTGAGGACAGCAGGGCACACCCCTTGCAAACTGATCTGTGAAATAGTCTCTGATCTCAAGAGGCTGGGAAGATTCACAAAAGCTGGACAACAAAGCAATTAATAGTACAATATAAGTTCACACTGGGAAAGAATAGTCAGCCGTGTGGGGTGTGCTACTAAATATTTCAATAAGTATTGAATATGTTCTGCTATTCATACCCTGCAATCCATTGCAGATTAATTTATCTCCCAGGAAAAGGAAGTAGATGCTAATAAAGAATCAAAAATATAAACAGAAAGAGTGTAGGAATCAGGTACAGGATAATCCACAAGAACAAATCGAAAATGAATCCAAGGCTGGTTTTTGAGATGAGGTCCGTTACCCAGGCTGGCCTCGAATTCCTGGACTCGGGGGATTCTCTCACTTCAGCCTCCACATCACTGGGACTAGAATTGTGTGACTTGCCAGTAGTCCAGATACTTGTGAAATTACACGTCTGGTGGCAGGAATGAACATTGACATCATTGTATCAGGAGGGGAAAGGAGATGGACTTATTTGGGGTAGTGCCAGGCTATCCATGAGTTACTTATTATAATTCCACTGGTATCTGTGTAATGGGAGATCTGGGATGAAATGGGTAGAGTGATATCAACCTGGGTGGGGGAGTTCAAGTGTATCATTATGTCTTATCTTCCCTTAGGGATTACAGTCTYGTTCAGAGTTAAGATGACTGGCTTGTTTTGGGTCAGAAAGTATCCAGAATAAGACAGCACACCACACCAGCCAGGTACAGTGGCCACACCTGTAATCCCAGCTACTCAGGAGGTCGAGGCAGGAGGATCTTAAGTTCTAGACCGGCCTGGGAAACTTAGCAAGCTCCTGTCTCAAATTAAAAAAAAAAAAAAAATAGGGCTGGGAGATGGTRTAGCTCAGGGATACAGCTACATGCACAAGGCCCCGAGTTAAATTCTCAGTATGGCAAACAAATAGACAAAACCCAGCATGACTGTCTAAGGATGTTTGATTTACTAAACCTATCTCCCTCGGCACAGAGAGCAGGATGCCACTCCTCCACAGAGACCTAGAAGGAAATAAACCAATAAGGAATAAAACTCTCCCCCCCACCACCTCCCAACAACCTTAGGGAAGAGGAACCTGCCAGGAGCCAAGCTGRGGTTCATGGGTGAGCTTTATTGTGCAGATCTTAGAAGAACTCGTGGAAGAGTGGAGAGAAGACCAGGACCCTCCTGATGGTGGGCTGAGGCTGCTCAGCGCCGAGGGTGCTATGACACTACGTCCCAGTCGCATGAGGCCCTGAGCCCCAAGTGCTGCTCCAACTGCCTCTGATCAAAACCATAAAGAGGGCCGACAGTCAGGTGTGGAGAGGTGGGGCCAGGGGCGGCCACAGCCTGTCATTGTGCACACAGCCACTCTCATGAGAGGATCCCATCCAAAGCGTCCTTCTTGACCCAGGTAAAGGGCTCTGTTGCTGCATTCGGATAAACAGTTCTGGCTCCTTTGTGAGAGRGAGGGAGGATGGGGTGGTCTGGCAAAGGGCCCCTCCTTGCATGTGGACTCAGGGGAATTGAAACAGAAGCCAGGTCACTCTGAGATGTTCTGAAGCTGGGAGAGAGTGGGTGGTAAAGTCCTACCCTGTCACRCCTTCTTGTCCCTTGAGTGTGCAATCTTAAAAATATGGAACCTATGAGAGACTTCGCCTTACACGTAAGAAAACGTCCTAAGTTCTATTGTCAATTAGTGTCAAAGTAGGGCCAGGACAGAATCTTKTACATGAGATGGTTTCCAGAGAGCGCAGAGCTTCTGAGAAATGCTTCAGCTTCCCTGCCTCCTCCATCCCTCCAGACTCTTCCTTAGACYGTTGGCTGCCACTCACTGGTTTCCCTCTTGGGAACCTTTACCCCCCACCCCAAACCACAGGGCCCACCACATAACTCAGAGCTGCCGGTCCACCTGTTATCATTGCGCATCTCAGTATGGGGCTTTAAACCACCACACACCAAGGAAACAGCTGTGGTCTTGCAGTTTCACAAACAGCACTAGTGTTTGAAAGCCTCGGAGTTGAGCTTTTTCCTTCCTCAGAACAGCATTTGGTAAATGTCTTAGTCCATCGATGCTGCTACAACAAAATACCTGAGACTGGGTAACCGGTAAAGAACAGAAATTCAGCTGGGCACTGTGGCTCACRCCTGTAGCCCCAGTGACTTGGGCTGAGGCAGGAGGATTGCAARTTCAAGGTCAAATTGAGCAAGATSCCGTCTCAAAATAAAAAAGCCCTGGGGATGCAGTTCAGTGGTAAAGCGCCCTGGGCTCAATCTGCAGAATCCAAAACAAAGGAGATGAAAAGCAAGCCCCAGCTACTTTGGAGGCTGAGGCAGGAGGATCACCGGAGCCCAGGAGTCCAGACCAGTCTGGGTAACATTGAGAGGCCCCGTTTCAAAATAAAAGGAACAGAACTTTCTTTTCTCACAGTTCTGGAGGCTGGGAAGTCTGAGATCAAAGCACGGGCAGGTTCTGCTGCTTGGCAAGAGCTTGTCCTCCGGAGGGGAAGGGGCACCATAGCAATCAGCTGAGGCTGCTGGCTGGAGCCTCTTTTAAAGGGCCGACTCCCAGGACCCTCGTGGGCTCCTCCCCTCCTAGGGGCCTTATCTCKCAGCACATTGGCCACACCTGGATTTTGAAGGAACACATTTGACCCATGGTGTAAATAAGAAGCCCCCAGGAGTGCCTTTGAGGGCCCTGRAGTCTGCAATCACAGCAGGTGACGCCGGTGCCGAAGGTCTTCCTCCGTCTCCCAGGACTGCAACCCTGAACGKTTTCAACGTGGGTTTGGAGAGACACAGCTCTTCATTTGTTCCCTACCAAACACCTGCCACAGGTGGAGGAAGTGTTTTGGGATCAGACCCCCTCACCCGCACCTGCTGCCCTCCACGCGCCTCCCAGGCCCTGCAATGGTCAGCCCAGCTGGAGGCCAGTGGAAAACCTCGAGATCCACCCTGAGAAGTCAGCTTTGGAGGCTCAAGGTCTCCAGGAAGCACTCACCCCGGTGCTGCCCATGATCAGAAACAGGGCAATGTGGAAGCGTCCAAACCCGATGGTCTCCACCGCATCCTCCACCGTGAACGTCTTTAGCTCTAAGGAGGCAGACGGAGGGTGAGGAGCGGTGCTGGCAGGAGGGGATGCCTGGGGGTCACTGCAGCCCTTGGAAAACGACACTCATTATTCCAACAGCTAGCTAAATGGTGGGCAGGGGACCGAGGCCGAGTCTGGACGTGTTCGATGATCTCACCTTTCTGCTGCTGCGGCTCTGGGACCCCCAGGCTCAGCTTCCGAAGGCTGATGACAGTGACGGGCTCYGTCTGCTTGGCCGCCATCTAAATGACCACAATTCCTCCAGCCTCCCTGATGGACTGCAGGGAGGGGAAAAAGAAATGTAATGGTACCTGTATGTACGATGAGAGCGCATACAGGTACCAGGCACACCATGGGCAACATTTCATTGAACAAAAACTTCTAAGTATTTTTACCCTCATTCACACATCGCCTTTGGAACCAGACCACTCCGTGTTTAATTTGACCTCACTACTTACTAGGTGTGTAGATTTAAGGAATTTGCCCTTTGTACACCTCAGTTTTCTCATCTCTAAAATGGACATAGCATGATAATCACACTTGTCAGGCTGGTGTAGGAGGTAAAAGCCTCAGTTCAGAGAAAGTGCTTGACCTATACCTGGCATGTACCAAAGTGCTCAAAAAAAGTGGGAGCCCATAATTCACTTTATGGGGTGTTTGTTTTCTGGTTCTGGGATTGAATTCAGRGGCACTTTGAAATTCTTGAATTTCAGGTAATCCTTGCAGAAGGAAGACTGGAATTAAATTATCACTATTTTATAACTCCTAGCAAAACAGTGGATCTAGGCAACAATCACCAATGGCCGATAAACTAGTGGGTAAAAGGCTGGTGAGAACTCTTCTACAAGACGATGAGACTGGTACCACCGGCACCCACTGAAGAATCCTAATGCCACTAACTGAGAGACAGATGAGGGCTTGTGGCTCCTGATGAGAAGCCACCAGACTAGACCGCGTCACCYGTGAAGTCTCCTCATGCACAGAAACTGAAACTGAATCCAGTCAAGCTTCGGCTGTTCAACTACACCACGTGGTGCCATCAGAGAAACCAAGCACRGGGCAAGTTCCACTGAATGAACGGCACGGCCTCCCCACGACACAGACGGCCAGCACACRAGAGGAGGGGACCACGGACTGCAACAGGACAGACTCGCAGACGCTTAGGTGAACCTTATTTGGATCCTCTCTGAAACAAATCAACTTTTAAAAGATTCATGAACAATAGAGAAAATCAGGGAAATTAAAGGAAGTTTGGAAGTTTGGTGATATTAAGGAATTACTGATGACAGCATTAGATGTCGCTCAGTGACAACCTAGAGTACTTTATTAGTATTCATGATATCTCAATCCCCAGGACTAAAAGCAAAACAAAAGAGAAATAATGTGTTGGTGAGGATGTGGAGGAAAAGAGAACGTACACTGCTTGAGGGAATGTAAACTGGTACTAACAGTACTGAGGTTCCTCACAAAATTCAAAGTAAAACCAGCAGATCTCACAGTGCTAATTCTCCTGATGAGACATTGCAACACCGTTCACAATAGTTAAGGCCTGGAGATGTGGCTCAGAGGTGGAGCATTTTCCTCACCTATGTGATTTAATCCCCAGCACTGCAAATAAAGGAAAGAACCCAAAATGTAAATGTCTGCTGATGGATAAAGAAAATGTATGTCCACTGATGGAACAGTATTCAGCCATGTAAAGAGGGAAACTCCGTTATTTGCAGCAACATAGATAAAACTGGAGCACGTGATACTAAATGAAATGAGCCAGACACAGAAGGACAAATACTTTGTTACATCACTGCTGTGAGGAGTCTAAAACAGTCAGACTCATTAAAGCCCAGGGTAGAATGGGGATTGCCAGGGCAGAGCAGGGAGGGGAAACGAAAAGATATTAGACAAAGACTACAAAGTTGGGCTGGGGGTATAACTCAGTCAGTAGAGTGCTTGTCTGGCATGCACAAGCCCTGGGTTCAATCCCCAGCACCACACACACACACACACACACACACACACACACACGAGTACAAAGTTTTGCTCAGCAACTTAGAAACACTCTGTCTTAAAATAGAAAGTGGTTCAGTGGTAAGGCACCCTTGGGTTCAATCCCCAGTACCAAAAAAAAAAAAAAAAAAAAACCCAGAAAAGTCCTAGAGAGCTACTATATCGCAGACATAGTGCCTACAGTTAACAACACTGTACTGTACACCTAAAACTGCCAAATACATAGATCTTATGTTAAGTGTTCTTAACACAATAATAAGAAGACTGGAGGAAATTTTTGRAATCAATGTCTAGGTTTATGGCACAGATTTTCATGATGGTTTCATAGGTATATATTTACCTCTRAAACTCATCAAGTTGTGCATATGAGACATGAACAGATTTTTACATGTCAACCACACCTCAATAAAATGGGTTTTAAACTACTCAAAGAGTTCCTCTCATGCCAGTCAGAATGGCAGTTATCAAGAACACAGACAACAATAAATGTTGGCAAGGATTTGTGTGGGGGGAAAACACACACTTATACATTGCTGGGGCACTGCAAATTGGTGCAACAATCTGGAAAAGAGTATGGAGATTCCTTAGAAAACTTAGAATGGAACCAGCATTTGACTCCTTGGTCTACACTTAAAGTAAAACCAGCAGGACTTACAATCAGCATTCTCTAGTAATGCAGCCATATCAATGTTTATAGCAGCTCAATTCACAATAGCTAAACTGTGGAAGCAAACTAGATGCCTTTCAATAGATGAATGGAAAAAGAAACTGTAGTGTATATACACAATGGAATATTATTCAGCATTAAAAGAGAACAAAATCATGGCATTTGCAGGTAAATGGATGGAGTTGGAGAATACCATGCTAAGTGAAGTAAGCCAATCCCAAAAAACCAAAGGCCAAATGTTTTCTTTGATAAGTAGATGCTGATCCATAATGGCAGAGTGGGGGGAGGACATGGGGAAAATGGAGGAGTTTGATGAGCAAAGGAGAGGGTGTGGAGGGGGCATGGGGATAGGAAAGATGGTGGAATGAGATGGACATCATTACCCTAGGTACGTGTATGAGTGCACATATGGTGCAATGCAGGGAAATGAAAACTTGGGCTGCAATTGTGTACRATGAATCAAAGTACATTCTGCTGTCATATATACCTAATTAAAATAAAAATTTTAAAGAAATGGGTTTTAAAAAGAAGAACAGAAACAAAGTTCTCCTCTTCCCAGAACATTAAAATAGCCACAGAACAGTGCCTGTAGGAGCACACCGAGGTCATTAATGTCTTCCAGATGCCAGCTATGCCTGGTGTTGCGTGGGCTCCTAGGAAGACTTCAAAGAAGGGTCCGACATGCTCTCTGCCCTGAGAAATTTTTAATCTAGCTGGAGACACAAAAGGCAGACATCAAAACAATGATGCTGTGGTATAGATATTCTTTGTAAAATAATAAAAAAAAAATGCTGTCAGGGAGACAAACATTCCCAGTGGGGAGAGAGATCAATAATACTCAGAAATAGTCCATGAAATCCTCTCTCCCAAAGGAGACTTGGAAAGTATGGAAATTTGTTATTTTCACAKAGTGAAAAAAAGCTGCACTGATTGGTCTCTCGGCCCACGCAGGAGCCTGAAAACCCTGAGGACCCTCAGGTCCAGAACTATGGCCTCCTCTAGACACTGTCCAGATCACTTTTGAGGGGTGTCCTTCATTTGGTAACTTTTTATATAAATAAAGTGTTTACAGGGAAACCAACGTGTGAAATGTTGGCAATGGCCTCCTGTTTGTAGATGGGAGAGACTTCAAAGGTGAGTAAGACAGAAGAAATAGGATGGGGGAAGGAGGCTACAGGAGGGGAAAGACACTGTCGCTTTAAATCTGAGAAGCTCCCTGAACACCCCACCTTTACTCCCCAAGTGTGTTTTCTTCCAGGCCAGAATTCATAAGAGTTCTTGAATCTTAAAGTAGAGTGAGTCCAGATGACTTTGCTAGTTATTGCAACTTATTTTCTTTCCACTAAATAAGACCAAGGGAAAACACTGTTAGGGACCCGTGATCTGGGCATCTTTCTCATGCATTGACTGAGTGGCATCACCCAGGAGCCCGCCCTAGGCTCTGGGTGGAGGAGAACGGAGCCCACCAGGCTGACGTCGGCCCCGCATTCACTGGTTTCAATTTCCTTAGAAGAAAGAACCCAACACCTCAACAGTGCATCCCACTCTCAAGCCCTGAATGGAGTGTGCATCCTGCACCATTCCTAGTTTTCCTAAACAAATAGCTTTGCTTTCTTAAATAAGCCTTTGTCTGTGCCTCTTCTGCTGCATCCTGAAATTCCTTTCTGTGGTCCAAGTCAAGAACCTTTCATGGCACAGTTGAAGTCCCTTCTCCCTTTTGTGATCAAAGGACAATCATTTGACACATGGTGCCAGGAAAACTGGATATCCACATGTAAAAGAATGAAGTTGGACCCTTAATTTATACCATACACTAACATTAACATAAAATGGGATAAAGATCTAAGTTTAAGGTCTAAAACTGTAAAATCTTTGGAAGAAAATATCAGTGAATATGTTCATAATCATGGATCAGGGAATGATTTCTTAAGTACAACACCAAAGCACAGGTAATAAAAAAAATATATAGATAATTTGGACTTAATCAAAATTCAAAACTTTCATGGGCCGGACACAGTGGGGCATGGCTATGTCCTAGCTACTCAGAAGGCTGAGGCAGGAAGATGGCAAGTTCAAGGCCAGTCTGAGCAAAAATGTCCCAAAATGAAATAAAAAGGGCTGAGGGTGGAGCTTAGTGGGAGAACATTTACCTGGCACATATGAAGGTTTGGGATCAATCCCAGCACCACAAACATAAAATTAAAATGGTGAACTTCATGGTTTGTGGGTTATAGCAATTAAAAATTTATTTCTTTAAACAATTATATGTTTATTCTTACTTATCAATTATATATTTCTGTTTTTTGTTTTTTTTTTTTAAAAAAAAACTTTAAAAAATAGTAAAACAGCCAGGTATGGTGGCACACACCTGTAATCCCAATGGCTTGGGAGGCTGAGGCAGGAGGATCACAAGTTCAAAGTCAGCCTCAGCAACAGTGAGGCACTAAGCAAACTTAGTGAGACCTTGACTCTAAATTAAGTATGAAATAGGGCTGTAGATGTGCCTCAATAGTTGAGAGCCTCTGAGTTAGATCCCTCAACCAAAAAAAAAAAAAAAAGTAAAATCAATCA